AGAGATGGGAGCCTCATGAGATGGGCAGGAATGAGCCACTTAAAAACAATAATAATAATAACACCTTTCTATCGAAAATAACGCAAGTGTAAGAAGTTACCATAAATGACCTGTAACAACCACGGCTTTGAAAGAGGTGGAAAAAAAAAAAAAAAAAAAAAAAACGCAGGTTTTTAGGGAGCTCGATGGGAAACAATTTCGGCTCTCCCCCTGGAACGACACGTCCGGGACGACGTCGCTCTGCTCGGGGACATCTGAAGCCTTGGGCTGTGCAAAGGAGTAGCGCAGGGGTACGAACAGGCTGGAGGGAGAGGTGTGAAGTGAGTGCGCACTCAATGGGAATGCGTGTGTGCCCACTCGAAAAAAAATAGTAAAAAGAAAACAAGACCCCCAAATGGCCAAACCTCTCCGGGCCCCCTCCTGGCTCCTCCACCGCCGCCTTCCTCTCCGGGCTGCGTTTCAAGGTGCGCTGGCTGCGCGGGYCGCGCAGGGAAGGCCCGCGAAGCGGCCGGGGGCCGGAGGTGCCCGCGGGCGCCAGCAGGGGGCGCTGCCGCCCCGCGGATGTGGCCGCGCCCGCGCTCCCGGCGCGGAGGAGGGGGCGGCTGCGCGGGCCGGGGGGCGGTTGGGGGGACACGTGCGGGGCAAGCGGGATGCCCCGGCGGCGACCGGGCCCCGCGGAGTGCGCCCTGCCCGCGCTTGCGCTTCCCGCTGCTCGGTGACATTGGAAATGATGCGGATTTTGGCGCGGATGGGTGCGGATCATGGGTTCGAGTGTAAAAGCAGGGATCTGCTCTTTACTTTCTGTGCTCCGTTATCGACATCGCTTTGSATCCTCTAATGTTGCGCTCCGCAAACGAGGAGACTTGTAGAATAATAATAATTCGTAAAAAGTCAAGTTTCCTCGGCCGTGTGGAATGTGTGGGTCGTCGGGCCAGGACTATCCAGGCCGAGCGAGAGGAGGAGGAGGAGGATGTCGGAGGCTCCTGCTCCCTCCGCACGAAGCCACGTTTCTTTTTTCTTTTGTTCCGAAACTCTCGTTAATGTTGGGAGGATGGATGGGCGGGGGGTGTTGCCCCAGTTTAGGGTCTTGGTGACCGTCCCGGCACCGCTTCTCCCCGCGGCGGGACCCCACGGAGCCAGGAGGACCTTTCCTGACACAGCCCCAAGGGACCCCCGAGTGCCCCCCCGCCCCCGCATCGCGACAACTCCCGCCCGCCGTCGGGTCTGTCCCAAGCTCCGGGTACGGCCGGACCGGGAGGCGAGGGAGCGGCAAGAGGATTTCAGGGCTGCTCTCAGCCCTGAAAAGCAAACTCGGTTGCCCACCCGGACCCCGCGTTTGCGGGCGAGGTAGGGGGGTCTGTGTGGAAAGCGAAGCGGCTTCTCACGGGGCTGCAGCTAGGAGCCGGGGCCGACAGCGAGAGCCCCGCAGCCAATTCCACCTGCTCGACGGAGGGGCCCGGACGCCTCCGGCTCCGTGATCCCGGCCCTTGCGCCGCATAAAGCGCTTTTGTGATGCGCTCGCAGCACGCTTAGCCCTTTTGACTGGGATTTAGGACGTCTAGAACCGAATTAAATTAGGCGTTTAACCTGCTCCTTTAGCTCGCGCGGCCCCCTTCCAAACACGACCTGCCTTTGTCACCTCTCCTCCCAGTTGTGGGCACAAATTCCCGGGAGCGCAGAGGGAAGGCAGGCTCGGATCGAGCCTGGAAGAGGAAGTTAAACAGAGGCTCCAACTTCTCTCCCCGCCACCTCCCAGTCCGCATGATCCCGTAAAGAGCGGCTTACCCCGAGCTCTGCCGCTCCCGAGGCCTTCCTTGCATTTTCTTTTTTGGCTCGTCTTTTAAAAGATTAGTATTAGTTTGGAAATCCGAAGCTAGTGCCTTTGAGGCCAGCCATGTAATTTGACTGCGAATGTAGCGCACCCCTCCCTCCGAGAGAGGCTGCCTGTAAGTGCGCTTGGAGCAGATCGAGGATTGCTGGGAACGCAGCCCCTGCCAGATTCGCTCCTTGCAGACGCCAAGAGGACAGCGAGAGYAGCCTGCCGAGTCGCAGGGGAGCAAAAGTTCAAGAGCGGAGCTCCAGGAGCCCTGTCCGGGCAGCGCGGGGTGGCCCGGCCCGGTCTGGCCCGGCTGAACTCGGCTCCGACGCCGGATCCGCAGCAGCCGCGCTCCAAAAAGAGCCACGGCGGCGAAGAAGGGGAGAGCGCTGTGGGAGTTCAGGGGGCAGGAGAAAATACTTGAAAATCCTAGCCCCCCCCCCCCCCCCCAGATAGATACATGCATAAATAGATAGATAGATAGATAAATAGATAGATAGATAGATATTCTCCCTGACCCTGGCCTATTTGCTCCGTGGCAAAGCCAAGGAAGCTGAAGCTCCGCAGCTGAGTCTTGCGATTTCTCACACGTTCTCACCCATATATTCCCGCACATACATACATACATATATATATATAAATATATGTACACACACTTATATATATATGCACATACGCACAGTACGAGAGGGGCCGCGGGCGGCCCGGGGGCCCAGGCGCAGCCGCTGCCCCGGCGGGCGCAGCGCTGGGCCCGGCGGGGATCGAGCTCCGCGTTGCAGCGCGGAGATAACCCGCTTTTCGGGGCCAAATCCGACTTGCCAGGGGACGTGGCGCTCTCTGAGCTCTTGCTGCAGCTGCAGCCTCCTCCGCCGAGCCCGAGAGCAGCGGAACCCCCTCTAGGAAGGGATTTTAGGCTCGCGAATTTTTCACTGGCGGTCGAGAGAAATGTACGCGCTTTTTTCGACGGTTATTCCGTCTCTGTGCGTATATTACGGTGAGAGTGTTTTGTTTTGTTTTGTTTGTTTCACATGGATATACATTGATTTCCCCTCCGCAACTGCCGAATTACTCGATGCAGTTTTCAGAGCAGTCCTGTGATTATGTCAGGATGTCTGGAAGAAGAAGGGAAAAAAAGAATCTGAAGTTCTTTTTTTTTTTCAATTCAGATTTCATTTCACAATCCAGAGAAGTGTAAATACGTAGATGCAGAACGCGGCTCGTCCTGGGAGAAGAAGTTGTTTCTTTCTTTCTTTCTTTTTCTTTCTTTCTTTTTTTTTTTTTTTCCCCTCTCTATCTCTGTTCTGCGCTCATAAACTCATGACCCATCTTAGTTCAGCGTATTAGAAATCAGTCATATTCAAGGGCACTTTCTCTGTCTCGCTTATTTCTAAACAAATAAATAAAATAACATAGCACAAAAATGAAGTGTCTTTACTGCCGGATTGAGTGGAAAAAGCTGGCATGGAGAAAGGGCGAGGGGATGTAAAAGTTAAAAAAGTTAAATTAATAGTGATTCACGAAGGACTTAAGGGGCAGGGCGGAAAAAGACAAATCCATCTGGAGCAAGCTCAGCTCAACGGGTCCGTGTCTCCTTGCGCCTATGTCTACACTGTTATCCACGGGAAAGAGACATTTTCCCAAACATATGAGACCTGAGAGGATTTCACCTCCCTGCAAAATCTGTCAGAAGAATTGAGTTACACTAACGCGTCTTCCGTACAGACATCTCTCTCACTTTGTCTCTGGAATCATATGCACGTGTGTATGGGGCTGTCTGTATGTACAGGCGCGCAAAGCCTGCAGAACAGATTTACATTTACGTAGAAAGTGAACTTCCCTGTACACAGAGTCCGCACACCACGGTGGGCAGAAAGGGAGACGCATCTTTAAACAAAGATACCTATAAACCCATTATTCTAGCACACCCAACACTATTTTTATCACATCTGTTTAACACGCTTCCGCCCTTTTGCCATCGTGTTAAAAATATCGGCTAGCTGCAAAACAGTCAGTATTATAAGGGAGCAGACTGAGTTCGGCTTGCCCAGTGTGGGAAAGGTGTGAGTATCTTCCCAGTCCCTTTTAGACAGCGTTTTTTTAAACATATTTTAATACGGAGGAGTAACGGATTCTTTGTGCATAAAGTGGAAAGAAAAAAATGAAAGCAAAGTCCAGGAATGAAGGAAAGAAACGCTAGACTGGTTTTAATACTCCCCTCATGTCTTAGTTCAACAGAAACATTAATTTACATTAGCAATTCTGCATCTTTAAGATAAATTACATAGCAGCGTAATAGATTTAAAGTACGCCAGATTTTTTATCATTAATTGTAAATGTGCAAAATACCTGCTGGTACTTCACTTTAGAAGAATGTAATTGGCAAAAATGGGAGGCTGATGAATAGATAATAGATCCTTAACTACCAATAAACAGAAAGCACCAGCCAAGAGCATTAGGATGTGATCATAATTATGCTGCAGCCGCAGCCAATGGGAGCTGCAGAACTCAGCCCTAAAATCATCCCCGGACCCAAAGGTAATCGCGAAAATCCGGACAAGGCTGGAGCCGGAGACTCGCTCCCCTGTCCCGTTCGCGTGTCCCGGCTCTACCCAAGGCAGCCGCTTCTGCGCTTTGTTTTCGGCACCGCTCGGTGTCTGGAGTGCGAAGGAGTGAAGGGGAAAACACATAAGTTTGGCGGAGGAGGAGGGCAGCACATTCTCTCCCTGGGAGGAGACCCTTTTTCCAGGTGGGGCATCTCTGCGGGACACCTCGGGGCTGCGGGGCTCCTTGCGGACCGAGGTCATTTCCCCGGGCCGGGAGGACCCCGGGGGCCGCAGGCGCGGGGCTGTCGCGCTGCCAGAGTGCGAGGGCTTCACGGAGCAGGGATGCAGCGGCCACCCCAACCCCCCGAGCCCCCCCCGCCGCCCGTCCCCCAGCACCCAGCGGAGCCCCCGGACCCCCACCCGGGCTGTCCCCCCTACCTTGTGCGCCCGCGGCCGGAGGGAGGCCGGGCTGGAGCTGCGCGGGCGCTGCGCGGGGGTGGCGGCGCCGCGCTCCCCCCCGCGCTGCCGCCGCACTCCGTTCCGCGCCGCTCCGCGGCTCCATCCCTCCCGATGGCGCTGCCCGGCGCTCGCCTCCCCTCTGACGCACTTTAAAGAGTCTCCCCCCTTCAACCTCAAGGCGAGTAATAGCGACCAATCATCAAGCCATTTACCAGGCTTCAGAGGAAGCTGTTTATGTGATCCCAGCACTAATTAGGCTCATGAACTAACAAATCGTTTGCACAACTTGTGAAGGGGCCGATCACATCCATGGATTGTCTTTGGACTTAGGGAGGGAGGGGGGGGCGACCGCCTTTTCCTTGCAGGAGGGAAACTTCTCCCAGCAACTTTTTGTGTGTGTGTGTGCGTGTGTGCGTGTGTGTCTCCCTTTTGGGTACCGCTGGCTGCCGCTGCCTCCTTCCCTCCAGCCCCTGTCTATTTATGTGTGTATCTATCCCTCCTCAAGTCACTCCCTGCTGCAAACTTGCCCGGATCGCCTTGCGCGCCGCGCAGAGCCACGCGGAGATTTGCTCGGGGACTCTCGCCGCGGCAGCATGTTCCAGCCCACACCCAAGCGCTGTTTCACCATCGAGTCGCTGGTGGCCAAAGACAGCCCCTTGCCCGCGTCTCGCTCCGAGGATCCCATCCGGCCGGCGGCGCTCAGCTATGCCAACTCCAGCCCGATGAACCCTTTCCTCAACGGCTTCCACTCCACCGGCAGGGGGGTCTACTCCAACCCGGACTTGGTCTTTGCAGAGGCCGTCTCGCACCCGCCTAACCCGGCCGTGCCCGTGCACCCCGTGCCCCCTCCCCACGCCCTGGCCGCCCACCCTCTGCCCGCCTCGCACTCCACGCACCCGCTCTTCGCCTCGCAGCAACGGGACCCTTCCACCTTCTACCCTTGGCTAATACACCGCTACCGCTACCTGGGCCACAGGTTTCAAGGTATGTACAATGTTGGTTTTCCTGTTTATTCCCCTTCGGCAGCCCCAGCCGGGGCCGCGCGGACCCTGCCCAGGGAAGGAGACGCGGGAGCTGCGGGCCCGACTTTCTCGGGGGTCTTTTGTTGGCGCCTTCCTCCAACACCGAAGTTGGGAGCTGTCAGGAAGGGAGGCTTGGGCTCGGCGTTCTTTTCTCTCTCTAATTTTTATTTCTGGTCTCTTTTCCCGTTCCCTTGGAGCAGAGGTGCAGGCGGGAAGGCAAGGCCGGCTGCGACTTTTGTATTTATTTCCTCCGAAAGAGCGGGGATCTAAAGCAGGGGAAAGCCTGGGTTCATGTTTTTGTTGTGGTGGCTTAAAATATATATATATATAAAATAAAATTATAGCCGAAGAGACGCGAAGGAAATGGCCCCGCGGAGTGAGGAGCGAGTTCAGGTTCCCCCGGGAAGCTCCGCGCTGCTCCGCGCAGCTCCCGAGGCCGCGGGCCGGGGAAGCCTCCGCCGCTCCCGGCCGCGCAAAATCCGTCCCCGTATGAACGCGGGAGGGAGAGGAAGGAAACGAATCCCAGGGAAGGCAAAAGAAACCGCAGCGCAGGAGCGAGCCGAGCCGCGGAGAGCGCGATTCGGCCCGGAGGGAGCGGGCGGGCAGGGAGAGCCCCCGAGCTGCCAAGCGATTAACAACCAGCCGAGGGAAAATAACCAAATCCGATGGCGCACGATCAATAAAACCCCCCTGGTTTAACCCTTTGCAATCGGTAGCGCCTTCTCCGAAGGGTGAGCTGGTTTCTCCTCTAATGGCTCCGATTTCTATCACTTTAGTTAAACAAACAAAACAAACAAATAAACAAACAAAAAGTTTTTTTTTGTTTGTTTTAAATCAATTCTCTCTCGAAGAGACCATTCTGCCTTTTTAGGTATTTTTATTTCATGTTTCCGAACGAAAACAGACCACCTGCACCGTGCCAGTCCCCGGCTTTCTGCAGCGGAGCCGTTGCACCCGGGCTCGAAATGGGAGACTCTCTCCGAAGCAAGGCGGCTGGAAATACAAAATGGATTATTACCCTCTCAGAATAAAATTGCAGGTTTCTCTCACCAAATTATTTGTCACAGTCATCAGGCGATTGGTAAAGAGCAGTAGATGAAAGGCGGAAATGTCCTGGTGTTGAGCCACAGCCTGATTTCCAACACACCCTCCTCCTCCAACGATTTTTAATGCACTTAGGGAGAGAGCCCCTCGTTGCGCTGGCCGCCTTGAAGGGACCGGCCCGAAGCGCCGTCCTGCAGGGAAAGAAGCCCCCGAGCGCTGCCCCCTCCTGCCCAGCTTCCCCCTGCGCCTCCCAGATATTTTCAGTGGTTTCATCGCGCTTTGAGCAGGGGAAAAGAGCGGCGAAAGGAAAAGGAGGGAGAAGGAAAAGCCGCCGGGCGCGGGGCGGGCGGTGGCTCCCGGAGCGCCGCGGCCGCGCAGCTCGGCCCCGATCCCAGCGCCAGGAGGGGATAAATAGGCAGAGAAACCGGCGAAGAGATGGATCTGCCGGTGGGAAAGGGAAACCAACAGGCTGAGCTCCGCAGTCGGGCTCTCGCCAGTTATTCTGTTTTTCATTCTCTTTATTTTTATTTTTCTTTCTTTTTTTTTAGTATTCACGACTTTGTGTTTTAGTATTTACTTTTTTTCCTCAGATGTTTTGAAGTCATCTCTTTTTCTTCCCCTTCCCTCCATCTGTTTCTCGAAGGAGAACTAAAAGAAAGCGCTTTATGAAAATAAGTAGTTTTTCTTCCGAGGGTAACGGTGGGAGAAAACAGACCATAGTTTTCATATATATATATGGAGATATATGTGTGTGTRTATATATATATAYTGTGTATATTTATATATATAAAGAAAAAGAAGAAAAAAACGAACTGATCTGGGGTGCGTTTGGGAGAAGGTGGGTTGCTAATCCCTGTTCTCCCCTGTTACCCAGGGAATGAAACCAGTCCGGAGAGCTTCCTATTGCACAACGCCCTGGCCAGGAAACCCAAACGGATCCGTACAGCCTTCTCACCATCGCAACTGCTGAGACTGGAACATGCCTTCGAGAAGAACCATTACGTGGTGGGAGCGGAGCGCAAGCAGCTGGCGCACAGCCTCAGCCTCACGGAAACTCAGGTGAGCGGCGGGCGCGGAGCGGGCAGCGCGGCCGCGGATCGAAACGAAAGGGTCTGGGGGCCGAGCAGCGGCCGGCCCGGAGCTGCGGGTCCGAAACGGGCCAATTCTCTAGGAATTTGGGCCTCTCGATTTAATTCTATGGGGGGGCGGTGAGGCGGCTCCCCTCGCCTGCCTCGCCACGTGCCTGTTATAAAATGCTTGCCCGTCCAGGGCAGCGCTCGCCTTTTGCGGGGTGGGAAGKGGGGTCCCCGGGCCCAGCGGGACCCGAGGCGGCTCCGCTTGCACCGGGAGCGCCGGGCAGCTACGAGGGGCAGCGGGAGCCCCGCGCTGATGGCGGAGACCATACGGGGGGCGAAGGAAAGGTCCTCGCGGCCCCTTTCCTGCGGGCCTGGTGCCGCTCGAAGGAACGGTTGAGCGTCGAGCTGGGAGAAGGGGCACAAAAACAAAAGGAGGCTGAGGGTGCCTTTTGATAATGGGGCAGAAATGGGATTTACGGGATTGTTTTCCACTCATTCGTGACCCTGAGTCCTGCAGAGGCGAAATAAGGAGTTACTTCATGATGGCATAAAGATTAAAAACAGGGAAATTGTTCACAACAAGGAATCCCCACACTTCCCCCCGCACCCCCCGTGGCTGGCCGCGGGCCAAGTGGTCACTRGGGACCGTTTCGGGTGTCTGCGTGGAGGGACAGCCCGGGACTCCCCCGCATTTCGGCTCCGCGTGTCTCCGCCGAGGGTCTGCGCGGAACCGGGCCGCCCCTCGCCGTAGGCCCGGGCGTAGGGGGCGCCGAGCTGCCGTCGCGGGCCGAGCCCCCCGACGGCGGCGGCCCCTGCCCCGTGCCCACGGCGAGGGTGATTTCCACGCCGTTTTCTCGTCACCGGAAGAGAAACCGGGGTTGGGGTTTGCTGTTGTTGTTGTTGTTGTTGTTGTTGTTGCGCTGGGGGTTTTGTTTTGTTCCTTTCCAGGGGGCTGGTAGAAAGAGGGCTCCAGATGGGGATTGTCTCTGCTACAGTATGTGGCACTGTACTTAAAAAAAATACAAAATACCCAGCCGCAGCCTAGTTCAAAGTTCCCAGTAAACAGAGCGTTCTCTGGGCGGATTAAGTTGTAACACTTTTTTTTTTTTTTTTAACTCCTTTTCGTGGGGGAAGTAATAAAGAGGTTGGAGCTTTTGTTTTAAAATGTCTCCCTAACAAAACAATAAAAAGGGATCTCCACTTTTATGAGGTTCTCCGAACAAGGGACCGGTCACAGGCTTATTTCCACTGGAAAGCTGTATTTAAGGTGGTCTTTGTGCTGCTTGATTCCGAAGCTGGTTGGGGTCTTTTGTCCGGATGTCAAACCCCCAGTCCCCTACAAATGAGCTCCCTTTTGGGAGATCAGCGTGCAGAAATGAACCGTCCTCCCCTTCAATTAGCAAACTAAAAGCAAATTAAACTCACCCCTTGTTCCCCGCTCAGCTTTTTAATGGGGGACTTTTGGAGAATATGAAAATGCAGCAGAGATGTGTGTCCGGCCAGGCAGGTCTCTGTTCTGAAGAGGCAGCGAAGCGGGTTAAACCAGCTTATTAAAAAGCTCTCGTTCCCTTTCCCCCCTTGCTGGGGCCTTTATCAGGCACTTTCAGACAGATCCAGAGTCTAAACTGCTTAAAAAAAAAAAAAAAGTGTACCTTTGGCCACTACAAGAGTGTGGCCAGCCCTAGAGATAGCTCCCAGATCAATATTATCTGTAATTAAAGCACTGAAGTCAGCTGCCGGATGATTAAGTCAGATTTATTCGGCTCGGAACAAATTCAGAGCGGCATTTAAGACGGCTCTTACAGGTTTCGCCTTAATACGATTGCTCCTGGACGGCCAGTCCAGAGGAGCCGCAGAAGGAAGTGTCGGAAGTTTTGTTGTTGTCACTTTTGGGTTTTTTTACCCTATTTTTTTTTTTCCGAAAGGAAAAAATCTCGCCCCGTCACCTCCCCGCCTGTTGTCCCCGCCGGCCTCTCGGACCTTTGGGCACCGCGGGCCCCGGCTTTGCCCGGAGCGGCCCGGCCTCTCCCGCAGCCTCCCTAGGAGCCCTTCCCAGGTGTTGGACACTTCGCTGGGAATAGCGAGCAGTAGTCGTCCCCGGGGCTTCCTCGACRGTAGCGCTTGGATTTTGGAAGCTGCTCGCCTCCAGCGGACGCTTCGGGTTGGGGCACTCGACGTGTGCGCAGGAGCCGCATCCGCGGCAGCTCCGGTCTCGGCGCCCCCGGCGCTGCCCTCGCCCGCTCGCCCCGTCGGGGGCTGCGCGCTGTCTGCGCGCACATGTGCCCAGCACATCTGGGAGCGCACATCTGGATGCGTCTCCTTCGCTGCCCTCGCACACTCGCGTCGAGGAGCGGGGACCTGCGGCACCTCGCGGCCCTGCGGATGCCCGAGTGGGCGCGGGGGGTGTCCCGCGGCCAGTGCGGGCCCCGCGTGCACGGAGCCTCGTCCGCGCAAGCGGCTGATTAACGCGCCGTTCCTTTCCCCCCCACGCAGGTAAAAGTTTGGTTTCAGAACAGGAGGACGAAGTTCAAGCGGCAGAAGTTGGAGGAGGAAGGCTCAGACTCACAACAGAAAAAAAAAGGGACTCATCATATTAACCGGTGGAGAATCGCCACCAAACAAGCCAGTCCAGAGGAAATCGACGTCACGTCGGACGATTAAAAACTGGCACTTTGGACTTCTCAAGCCAGCCAACCCACCAAGAAGAAAGTGTTAAAGGCTCAAACACACCGACGTGGCGGTGCGGAGAAGGGACACCGAGATCTTCAACAAAACACGATTCCCGGCTAGGAGGGCAGCGGAGAGCGAGCGAGGGCGACACTGCGAGAGCTCCAAACTGTGGCACTGCTGGCACAACTCTGGCCAAGGGGATCTGTCAATCAAAGGCAAACCACCGAGGCGAGGTGATTGACAGGTATTCCGTTTCTCGCAGTCCACTTTTAAAAACATTACGTCAAAAAAAAAAAAAAATAAAAAAAAAAAAAAAAAAAAAAAAAAAAAAAAAAAAAAAAAAAAAAAAAAAAAAAAAAAGAGAAAAAAAAAAAGAAAAAAGCCACCCTGGTTCCTAAAGACAAAAATGAATTGTAATTTTTTTCCCTTTAAGACAGGTTCTGTGTGCTCTTTAATTTTATTTTACAAGAAATGTGCAGTCTGTAAACATTTTATGATAACTTCTGGCGTCAAAGTGTTTGTGAAAGCTAAATGAAGTAGCAGTAACAAAGCATAGTGTTCCTTCTGGAGGGACAAACACAGTGGGGCAGGTGGGACGGGGGAACGGGAGGAGGGAATTGGGACCGATCATGACTTCTATTGCCAAAAAGAAAAATCTAACCTAATCTAATCTATTAAACCCCCTTCTCCAAAAAATGCCCATTGCGAAAACGGATGCTGATCAAATTTAATAAAAAAAAAAATAAATAAAGCGCAACCTCAGCGGCCAGTTTGGCAGTGGGGAAATCTCCCAAGCTGCGAGGATATAGGGAAAAAAAAAAAAAGGACTTAAAATTGTGGATTGATTTTTTTTTCTAACGGCCATTTTCATTGGGGCAAATTTTCAAGCACTGACCTTATATTATTCCGAGATTATAGAGCTACTAAAAAAAGAAAAAAAAAGTGACAAATGTTTCCTTCATGTCTTCTATATCAGAATGTAAATATTTTTGTGTTTTGTGTTTAATTTGTTAGAATTCTAACACACTATATACTTCCAAGAAGTATGTCATTGTCAATATTTTGTCAATAAAGATTTATCAATATGCCCTAAAATGTTAAGCGATGTATTTCCCGTCCCCTCCTCCTCCAAAATTCCCGTAAACAGAGACTTTTCCCCGTGTTTTTTAGCTGCCACTTTCGTGCGGTAGGAGCCTGCGCTCCCTGACCACACAGTGCATTCCTGAGGCCATAGGCGCATTTTCTTAATGAATCCTCTCGCTTGTAAATAGACCTCTAAAAATAAGTCGCGGAGACCAATTTGCTGCAAATAAATACCTAAAAAAAAAAAAAAAAAAATCCAAACAACCCCTTCCCCTTCCCTGAATTCCAAACCGACCCCTAATTTGGGGGTTAAACAATTTGATCTTCGGCAGTCCGTAGAAAGGGAAAGCGCTGGTACAGTGGGAAATCCCTCTCCAAAATATGTATTTTATTTTGCAGGGATGKTTTTTCCCTTCATTTTAAATCCCCTCTCTCCTACTCCGATCGAGGAGCAGCTCCTCCTGGGAAGCCCCTCAGCTGCTGCTCTCCCCKCCACCAAAGGGAGCGATTCGGGCTGGCCACAGCCTAAAGCTCCCGCATTGAAGAAGGGGTAAAAAAAAGTTGCTATGGGTCCTTGAGGAAACTAGCTGGTTTTCTGGGGGTACACAGTTGTTTTTTCATGCTTCATTTGCTCCTTAGCCTGATAGACTGCATTAATCAGTTTTATTTCCATTGATAGAGAAACCTCGTCTGCTCTGTTCGAGCTACAAAGAATCCTGCGAGCTTTTGTGAAAGTGCAAATCAGTTTAGGCAATTATCATACCAGGAATATGAAGGGGAGAGAGGAGGCATTGCCCAGTGGTCTCCTTTAATCTCTTAATCCGTGGATCCAGGGGGGCTAGTTGGACATAATTTAGGACAATCTGACTACCCTTTACACTGTGATAAGGCGAAGTTACAATGCACGGCGAAAATACGAGCTTTGTTAAACATCCTGCCTTGAAAAGTTAAGATTAGACATTCTGCGCACGTGTTGGCTCTGTCGGGTACTATGTAAATTTTTTTTTTTTGAAAAAAAACCCATTTATTATTATTATTATTATTATTATTATTTTTTTTTTTTTGTCACCGCTCCTTACACAGTCCTAGTGACTTTCCGTTCATTACTGCTACAAATATGAGGAAGGCCCAGACAGGGTTAGGACGCATGTCGCAATGCGGTCCCCTCCATTTAGACCTAGGCTAATTATTTAGCAGATCTATTCCCAAGGTAAACTTCTCGTTGCGTTTCCCCTCTTCTTAAACAGCTGATCGTGCAGATCTTGAAATGAATCAGGGCACACATTTCACCTTAACTCGCCTAAGTTCTCCTGCGCTCCACTTCAAACCCATGCAAATAGGCAAACATTAAACGGATCGTCGCTGAACAGCAGACTTGGGCCTTTCTAGAAATTGTTTCCCATCTTGATAAAAGGCTTATTTCTGCAGGAACCGTATATTCCCTCCCCCCCTCCCTTATTATTTTTTTAAACTGCTAGGAAAGAGGGAGAGAGGGAAAAAATTAAGCGTCCTATGTAGCGTAACAGCAATAAAATCTTCAGAGAATGCCATTAGCTTTGAAAAAAAAAAAACCCTAAAAGCTTTATTACAAACCAAGCTTTGAAAATAGGGGGGATTAGGAGTCTGAAAGGGTCCCACAATGGTTAGAAGAAAAGGTTTCATGCTAATGAGGTTAATGCCCTTTGTATCTCAGGACTCCACAACTTCATTACTCCCTATCTCCGGCTGCACCAAGCGGCTCAGAACACTGCAATCCACTCCAGCTCTCCCCTGCCTTGCCTAGAGAAGGATTTGATAGCAGCTCTGTTCAAACTAGATAATTATATCTTTTCAAGTCGGAATTAAGATAAAGAAAGTGAAGCAAAGGCGGCTAGCCTTGATCCACTGCAAACAAATTTGGCGCACTTTCTACTCTCTCTCCCCCTGCCTCAATAGGCAGGACAGTCAGCTTATTAGACCCTCATTTGCTTTATTAATTCATCTATTTAAAGTGGCAGGATTAGAGAGAGGGAGAGAGAGAGAGAGGGAAAGACTAATGTGGGACAGTGGATGCCAGGCAACGTGGAAATATAAATATTGGCGAGATGCTATCCGAGCGGGCGTTTAAAAATACATTTTATATTAAATAACGACGAGGGCTGGCGGGTGGGGRGACATCACATTTCAGGTGGTAATTTGGAGGCTCGGGCGGGTATTTTGCTGCCGGTTCGATGGTGACACCGGTGCGTGCGCGGAGCCCGGCGGGTCGCGGCCCGGCGCTCCCTGGCAGGGCAGGAGCACCGCGGGATCCACCGGGACGCGGCCACGTGCGGAGCCGCCGCGCAGTCCCGCCCGGTCCGTTCCCGCCGCTCCGAGGTCCGCGGGGGCGGCCGCGGGGCTGCCCCTGGGCGCAGCTCGGCGGCCTCCAGCGGTGGCGGCTTCTGCCGGGGCCGCCCGCCCCGTCGCGTCCCCACGGCCAAGCCCGGACGGGAAGGGCCACATGCGGCTCCCCGCGCAGCTCGGCCCGCTCCGCGGAGCTCACCCGCCGCTCCGCGCCGCCTCCCGCGCGTGTCGCCTCCCGTCCCGCGTGTTTTAACCCTTTCCCTGCGAACAAAGGGAGAGCTGCCGGCCCTCCCGCGCAGCGGCTGCGCTGACTTGCGCCCTGCTCCGCGGTGCAGACACTCTCGCACCCTTGTCGTTATTGCCACTCGAGCCGCCGGGAAAGCGAAGGTTGCAGGCTTTGGAGCCCCCGCTTTGTTTTGTTTCGAAACGCTGTTTATTTACCTCCCCCTCCTTTGATGGATCGGGTTGTTACTTTGGAGGGCTGGGCGGAAATTAGCAGTTCCCCCTAATTAGCAAACAGCTTATCTGCCTGACTCGTAGGAAATAGGCGAAGCCGGGACAACTCCGTCCAGACTCGATTCCCTGATAAACAGGATCCTCCTAACCCCTGCTCCCTTATCCATCAGTGGTTCATAACTGCTTGGAGCTAATATAGCAATTGATTTACTTCTCCAAAGAGTCCCGCTGTGAGCTGGAAGTGGGAGTTTAGAGAACCTACTGACCCCGAGTCGTAACCTCGCTCCTTGCCATCCCTTCCCCTGATGAGCTGGTCTTAGCCGGGGAAGCCCAGGCCGTGGTCCGTACTTGAAAGCGAAAGGGCTATTAATCACCTTCCCTCGCTCTCTTTTTTTTTTTTTTTTTTTTCCTTTTTCTTTTAATTGGCCTTTTGCAATTAGCGCCCGTTGCGGGAGTCTCGGGCAAGGCGACCTGCGAGCGGCAGGCAGAGTCGGAGCTCTAGGCCAAGGAGCTGTCTCTCCTTCCTTCCTCCCTTTCTTCCTCCCCTCCTTCCTCCTCTTCTTCCCCCGCAACTCGGTATCCAGCCCGTGTCCCCGTGCAAGGAGATCCGGGTCCCCCCGACTCCTCCACTCCCTCACCCCTTCCAGCCCCGCTCCGCCTGGGCCCTTCGCGGGCCAGGGCGGCTCGGACAACATTTATAGCCCAGCTCTGCATCGCACCCGGCTGGACCTGACGTCAGGAAGAACTTGATCTAGCCCGCTTTGCTCCTGCTTCTGAAACTGATCCTTGAAATGAGAGAACAGACTCTACACAATTCCCATGGCCTTGACATAAGGTACAGCGATAAATATACACCACTAATGAGCAATTACCATATAATCACCTTCCAATTAGCTCGCATAATGATGAATTAAACATTCTAGCCTGCTGGATTAGGTTTCTTACTTTGTATATTATTTACGAAGGCTAGCTTCTGCTGAGCACCAAATATCAAATTAGATAGGGAATTTTCAGTTGGGGGTAATTATGCATTCAGTGCATGCCCGGAGTTTTTGTCACCAGCTAAGTAAAGTGTATTGGAAGGTAGTGTCCATCCTTTTATGTCTTTCCTTTTTGATGTTTTAAAACAAAGTTCGTGCTTTTCTACCACTGCTCTGCACGTTGCCCCTCGTATTAATCCTTTTCGCTTCCCTAAGACTGGACT